CCCCCAAATAATGCATGTAATTAAGGCAAGGGATCGCCACTTATGATGAACAAAGATTGATAGAAACACAAGCAACAATGAATCCATAGAGCTGTACAATACATACATGACTTTAGCGACAAATATGCAAACACTTTGGCTGCCTCCTCCATTGCTTTCCTCAGATCAAATGAGAAGCTATAGCAAGAAGTCCATAAATTTAGTCAATGGAAACGTGGAACTGGTTGCAGCCTTTGCTTCGTCGGAGCAAGATGAATTGGCTTTCCGGCAACAAAAGAAATTTCGTGACCCCAAGTTTATCAACTTTTCCTCCGGCTTTAAGCCTGCACCGTGCATGGTCATATAAGAAATCATGGACTACAATAGCATTATTACGTGATCAAGTAATAATATGTGCTCATCTTGGGGTCATTTCTCAATCTATCTTGTTATATGAGTCAAGAAAAAACTTGAGATCACGGGACGGGTTTTGAAAAGGGTGTAAAAACAACGTATATAGACCAAAATTCTACAAGTCATTTCCTAATGCAATATTAGGTGATACAAATCAAATATAAAACCTATGATAGCTTGTGATTGAATTATAAACATGGTTCTAGGTGGATCAGAACGGCAAAATAAGATTCATTTAACAAATCATATATAATAGTCAGAGACAAATTAATTCCAATGAATTAAGGATTGTCAGCATGAAAAATGTTGCTTAGCTATGCAGTTTTCGAACGATCCATCGAATAATAATTGGGATTGCAACACTAAATCCTACCTTTTTTTTAGGTGGAAGAATTCTATACAGATTAATTAGCCCAAAGAGCCCAAGCGACATAGGTGGTGTTTGATAAGCTTTTCCACACTAGACTCGAGCGGGCAAATCAAAGAGCTCTTGCGTCCTTTTGGGGTTAATGTTCTCGATGGTGACTCTATGATTTGATATCTTTGACAAATGAGAGGATGAAATAGGCGGTGTTTGAGAAGCTTTTCCACACTAGACTCGAGGGGGCAAATCAATTAGAGCTCCTGCATCCTTTTGGGGTTAATACTCTCAATGGTGATCGATGATTTGATATCTTTGACTAATGAGAGGATGAAACGGAAGAAAAGTAATGAAATCTATGATGGCTATTGAATAAAACCATCCCTCGGACAGAAATATAATTTTTTTNAGTAATGAAATCTATGATGGCTATTGAATAAAACCATCCCTCGGACAGAAATATAGTTTTTTTTAAATATAATTTTTTTTTAATAGTCAGGTATACTTGAGGGTTTACACGTATCTCATTTAATTAAATCCCCTCTTCAGTGCGTTCAGAGATAAATTATTCCGTAAGAAATAAGATATTTATGAGGAATAAATTCATCATAATTTAATCATAAAAAATTATTAATATTCGAATTCATAACGTCTAAATTTAAATTTATGACTCATTCGTGTCACTGCTCAAGCTAGAATGATCGGAATACAATTGGTTTAAGAAAAAACAAGCAACTTCTGGTCAGCCAAAAGAATATATTTACAATTCCAGAGAAGATCCTTTGCCCGACAGAACCGATACCTTTGGGCCAAACAAGGGATTTGCTATTACTATATCAAGAAAACTCTCAAAGATACAAAAAAATCGAGAACTTACTCTCCAGACTATAGGACGAATAGTGAAGCTCGAAACACCGAGGATCAGTTTCACTCAACAACGGCCTTCTCTTCTCCTTCACATAAATATCTACAGCCGACTTTGTCAAATCTCGGACGGTGTTTTCCGGCGACATTACCACCTGGATTGGCCCCAAACTATTCTGAATGCTCACGTTGAGCAACAGCTTCGTCAGCTTCTGTGATGTGCCACTGCCACTGACCTTTTGCTGCGTCAGTTTTTTTGGAACGTCGATGAATCCTCCGTGTTTTCGGACGAGCTGAGAGTTTGTAACTGAGTCGGACTTCGCAACTCGACCTCCGTTTGAGGCGGAGAGGTGGCTGACGACGCCATTTGGACGTCTAAGTTGTGGTGGAGTGGTCATTCTCAGAGAAAATTGAACGTTGGAGTGGTTAGGATTCGAAGAGTTTCGAATTTGTGCCTGTGTATGTGAATGTGAGAGAGAGAGAAGAGAGCTGAAGGGTGGTTCATTAACCAAATCAAAAGGTTTCTTTGAAAGATATATTTTTAAATTAGTTCATAATCGAATAATCGATACAAACCTCTGCAACATCTAAAAAGTATTTCAATTTTATCGACGTAACTTGGTATTGTCCTTCAATTAAAAAATAATTAAATGAAGTAAATTTAATTTTTTTAAGTGAAGTAATTATTATATTAAATGAATAAATAGTTATTAAATTATATAAAATTTATTTACCCACTTATTATGTTTTTGTTATATTGTAATATTGCATAATTAATTATAAGATTAATAATCAAACCGAACTATTTAAGTTCGACTCGTTCAGACTTAACTTGTTTACGTATAAATATTCGGATTCAATTCAAATTTGGCGCATTTTAAACTCTTTAAAAAACGGAATAAATTTAAATAATTTTTTAAATTTATTTAAAAAAATAAGTTCGATAACCTTAGCTCCATTGATTATCAATGCTATTTAGTGGTGTCATATTTACGCATCATTTTGGCCGATACCTAAAGTGACATCATATAATTCGAAGGTTTGTACGTGAATCAGGAATGGCGAAGTTTCTTGGAAATTCTCGGACTACGGTTTTGCCACTGACATTTACCAAAATTACAATATTACCTAAAGGTTGGAGCAAATGATTATAGAAAAAATAGCAATTTCAATTTAGAAGATTAGGT